TGTTATGTGTGTGTGTTATATGTATGTGTATGTGTTTTGCGTATCACACTTTGTAAAGACATATCAGAGGTATTTTGGATACACCAGTCAGAGGCTTCGGAATTACACAGAACAGAGAATATCTGGGCTCCTGACTTGACGTCAGCACTGTAAGTAAGAAATCTATGAAATAAAAAAGACATCTCAAGCTGCATCTTTAGCGAACCATTCTCAAAAATTTCTTAGAAGAACAATCAAAACAAAACAACAAGGTTTTTGCTCTTTCTTCCCTCTCTTATCCTTACTGTCCATGGTATCATTTTCTTCAATGGAAAATACAATCTAGCACTAGCAAGCTAACTGATATAGCAAACATACGAATAGCAAACCATGCACATTGCAAACAGAATTTCAAGCCCTGAATTTTTTTCTTAAACATGTATTTTTTTGGTAGCTAAATCAAGCACATAGCAAAAATTATACACAGGGGGAAAATTTCCGCGTCTTGCCGATTTCACTACACGCATGCTAGACTGCATTATATCAAGAGAATTTTTAAGGCTCTTTGTTCATTCATAACCGACGACCCAGTCCCTGGATTGGCCACCTCGAATGTTGACTAAAGTTGAGAATGAGATCAGCAACACTTCACGTCATATTTGGCTTTCTCAAACGTTGTGACACTTCTTTCTTTCGTTACGTTACAGCAGAAGATGAACTCTTCAGTGTTGAAATGGACTGATTTGGTAATGTAAAAAAGGGGAGGAACGAAACTGAAACAGCGGCTTAATTACAGGAAAAGTTACAGCCGAATAAATTGACCAAGACTCCATAGAAATGGGTTTATGGATGATTAGATGGAGGGCTAAAACTTATAGGGGCAATGGGCTACACAGTAAAAAAACCAATTGTTTAGGAGATAAATGCACTTAAAAATACCCACTATTTTAAAAAAAATTGACCATGCAAATGAAAAGATGTAAAAAACGAATAGTATACAAAGAAAATCAAACAAAATTTTATTTCCAAACATCAGGGTGTATAGCAAAAACAAATCACAGCAGACTTCATTTTCAGTAATCCTACCATTACTTAAGACAATCTACCAACTGGTATTATCTGAAATTGGATAGAAGCCGAAAAATCTGAGTGCCGATGACATTTTTTGTACCTAAACCTGCTAACTCAACAACAAACTTGACTCACAATGTGCGTACTTATCTGAACCTTCAGTCTCAATAATAATAATCAATACCTTTTGTATAGTGCATATTCCCACGAAGCAGCAAGCTGTATGTGCTCTAAGATCAATATATTGTTATTATTAATACCTCAGCAGACCCTACAACACTCAAAAACACTCTTCGGCTTCCTGGGATGCGTACAGTGCAAGCAACCAAATAAGCGCTCAAACACTAAAAAACTGATAAGATCGATCTTTCACTGTCTATAGGTATCTACCAAGACACACCAAACCAAACCTTCCGTTTCAACAACTAATTGGACACACTCAGAACACTGACATAGACTGTGGCTGCGTCAGTGGTTCATGACCAGCGTCCGATTCTCCCCATCATAACCTCATAATCAAGCTGATCCGTGATCAGTGATCCATTGCTAGTCGTCGGACTACCTCCCCTATAACTCTCTGCCATGGCTGAGTTGCCCAGTGGTCACTGATCCATGACCAGCATCTGTTTTTTTCCTGTCATAACAACTGAGCTGACTACAAGTCATTGATCAATGACCAGCATCTGATTTTCCCCATCATAGCAACTCAGATGACAGGTGATCACTGATCCATAACCAGTCTGATTTTTTCCCCATTTTATCAAGTGAATGGACCGGTGGTCATTGATCCATGAACAGCGACTGATTTTCCCCATCATAACAACTGAACTAACTGGAGGTCATTGATCACTGATCCATGACCAGTCCGATTTTTTACCCCATTTTATCAAGTGAATGGAGCGGTGGTCATTGATCAATGAACAGCGACTGATTTTCCCCATCACAACAACTGAACTAACTGGAGGTCATTGATCACTGATCCATGACCAGTCTGATTTTCCCAGTCATAATAACTGAATTGATCGGTGGTCATTGATCCATGGCCAGCGTCTGATTTTTTCCATCACAACAATTGAGCCAAGCACCGGTTAGTGATCCATGACTACTATCTGATTCTCCCCATCCTGACCAACAAGCTGACCAGTGGTCAGTTTGAGCACAGCCTTAGCCTGGTCCCGTAACTCCCAGGGTCCGGACTCGGCCAGAGTGGACAGTTCTTCCTTCACCTGCTGCTGGAGGGGGTCAGAGAGCATCTGGAGCTGGTTACACTCTAGAATAAAAATAAAACGAGAATAAGCTGCACATCCTGGGACACAGCTGGCTGGAGGTGGAGAGTTTATAAAATTTTAGTAGTTTTTTACTGCACTTGCAAAACAATAAGGTCATATAAGTGCCAGAGATTAAAAGTGTTACTAGAGAGTAACAAATAATAAAAAAGAAGGAGGGGAGATTAGGACAACAAATGTTTGAAAGGAGAGAAGGAGCAAACCACACCAGAGCACCCACCAACCTCCCATGAAGGTGGAGAAGATCGCCTAGAACAAAGACAAGAGCACAGCACGGTGGCCACCAGCAATGGCGTGTTTTAAGTATGGGCTATCTGTATGTTTCAGTTCATATGTATTCATGTATTTATGCACCATACCTTTGTGTATAATATGTTACACCATTGGAAACCAAATTTCCAAAGTGGAATTATATTTATTTTCATTATTTATTTATTCAGTATATAACAATAGTTAATCCATTATACATTGATGACCTTTAACATTCAAGGAGGAAGAGAAATTAAAGACCATGCTAGGTTCTGCATGAGTAAAGAGAGCAAAGTAAAAGAAATATCTGCAAGCAACTTGTAATGATCACAAATGTCACAAATCGCCAAACAGTGCCTTTCCTAAAATGGTGCACTAAACGGAGCATTTGTCTGTTGGGCCAAAGTATATTTATATATATATACTAGCTGGTCCCCCTTTTCGAGAAAGGGATGATCGGTACATTTACATCAACTGAAAGTCATTGGCCTACTACCCCGACCTTTGCGAGAGCGAGGGGTTCGAACTGCAGAACGCCGTTTTCTTTTCAGCATGGTCAGGCACTATCAAGATCTAGATTCTAATCGAAGACCTCCTGTAGATGTTGTTCCCAGTAGCAAGAAAAAGAATTTGAGAAAGGAGTCCAGAAAAAGCGATGATGGGCATCAAACGAAAGGATCACAGTCAAAATTAGCACCAAGTAAAAAAAGAAAACATGAGGCAAGGTCTATACGGGTCGCACACTAAAATAGTGCTCAGTATTGTGCGACAATGCGCGATAGTATTGAACGGAAGTACGACTAGAAATAAACAAACCTGGCGGATTTTCTAAAATTATAGAGACAGAAGCGTCGGCCTACAAAAGCAATCGGCAAAATATAGAAATTTAGCTTTCTGCAGCAAAGCTGTATCAAACTGAAAAAACGAAGGGCGTCATGATCTGGAGAATATTTTAAAGAATCTTTTGGTGGAAAACTGCATGTCGATGAATGCAGCCATTAAAAAGCCTTTTGAAAAGCAAAATTCGGCCACCACAAATAGACAATAGATATATATATTGGACAAAGCAAACAGCATCATTAGCCTGATTGTCTATGCAGCAACAGAAGCTTTACAGATGTGTCTGAAACTTCTCGAGATGTCTTGGGTCTTTCTCGTACATAGATATCTCTCACTAAGCAACCATGCCTAACTCACCTGACAGTCGTTGCAGCAACAGATCTACCACAGACAGGCTCTCTGTTCTCAGGGAGACGTACTTGATGTTTCCTGTAGACATACAGTGAGAGAGGGAGGGGAGGTGAGAAAGTGTGTGTGTGTGTGTGTGTGTGGGTGTGTGTGTGTGT